GATTCTTGGGGCTAACCTATTAACCTAGAGCCCAGTGCCAGTTTCTGTTTCTCCTTGTTTTTTAGTTTTACAGAAAAGGAATACCAAATGGAGTCCAATTGACGTGCCAATTTTTGACGAATTTTTATGGACCAAAAGAAGCCCCAGGAGTGCAAGAGTTAGGCCCGAAGAGTCTCAGGCTGCCCACGAGGGTGGAGGGCGCACCCTCCTGCCTCGTGGACAGCCTAGAGACCCCCCTGACGTGAGACCTACGCCAAAAATTCCAATAAATACTGAAACCTCCAAAAAATAACCTAGATCGGAAGTTCCGCCGACGCAAGCCTCTGTAGCCACGAGAAATCAATCTTGGCCCTCTCTGGCACCCTGCCGGAGGGGGCCATCATCACCGGAGTCCATGGGGAAGGATCTCGGATGGACCATCATCGCCATGAAGGTCAAGGATCAGAGGGGAAACCTCTCCCCATCCAGAGGGAAGGCCATGGAGGAGGAAGCACAAGGGGAGAACTTCTCCTCCTCTCTCTCGGTGGCGCCGGAGTGCCATCGGGAGGGGAACCATCACCACGGTGATCATCTTCATCAACACCACCATGATCATCACCATCCTCATCTCTTTCACGCGGTCCACTCTCCCGCACCCCGCTGTATTCCCTACTTGAACATGGTGCTTTATGCCACATATATGATCCAATGGTGTGTTGCCATCCTATGATGTTTTGAGTAGATATCTTTTGTCTTTGGGTTGATTGATGATCTAGATTGGTACGAGTTGTATGTTTTATTTTGGTGATGTCCTACTGTTCCCTCCTTGTCGCGCAAGCGTGAGGGATTCCCGCTGTAGGGTGTTGCAATACGTTCATGATTCGCTTATAGTGGGTTGCTTGAGTGACAGAAGCATAAACCCGAGTAAGGGGGTTGTGGTGTATGGGATAAAGGGGACTTGATGCTTTAATGCTATGGTTGGGTTTTACCTTAATGATCTTTAGTAGTTGCGGATGCTTGCTAGAGTTCCAATCATAAGTGCATATGATCCAAGAAGAGAAAGTATGTTAGCTTATGCCTCTCCCTCATATGAAGTTGCAATGCCGACTACCGGTCTTGTTAACGATTGCCTAGGATAATTCCGCACACAGATCCATCATTATTCCGCACTCGCTATTTATAATATTTAATAATATATTCTAACTTTATGATAACAGCACCTACTTTTATATTTTAGCTCTCCGATATCATGTAAAGTTATCCTCTTCATACCCACAACGTAGTTTTATTTCTCATATCTAGTTGGAAGCAAACGTTCGGTGTACGTAGAGTCGTATCAGTGGCAGATAGGACTTGATAGAATATTGATCTTACCTTTAGCTCCTTGTGGGTTCGACACCCCATACTTATCACTTCCACCTTTGGAAATTGCTACGATGATTCCCTGCACTTGGGGATTATCAAGCTCTTTTCTAGCGCCGTTGCCGGGGAGCAATAGCGTGGGGTTGATATTCTCGTGTGTGCTTGTTTGCTTTATTCACTAAGTAGATTTTTTTTCCTTTTTGTTTATCTTTAATTGTGGGTGAAACATAAAAAAATGAAAATACAAAAACAAAAAATTACTTGCCTCTCATGCCTAAAAAAGTTTTTCAAAAAGAGAAGTGATTGGAAAGTTATGCATTGAAGAAGTGAGGGTCGACCTTGAGCACTTGTGTTCATGCTCACGAAAACAATGTAGAATTTTTCATGGAAGTTTCTCTGTAAGTAATTATCCCTTGTATATATCCATTGTATTATAAAAATAATGTGACAAGCTTTGGTTTTAGGATGATTAGATTGCTTGTTTACTATGTGCAGAACAAAAACAGAAACTTTGGCAGTAGTGCGTGATTTTACATTTTTTACTGGAAGGTCAAATGTGTCTGAAACTTTTTGCATATTACTTCTGTACAAATTTTTAAAATTTTCATATTTATTTCATAATGTTTGGAGTTACATAAGTTTACTAAACTTCCAGATTACTACAGACTGTCCTTTTTTTGACAGATTCTGTTTTTCGCGTGTTGTTTGCTTATTTTGATGAATCTATGGCTAGTATCGGGGGGTTTGAACCATAGAGAAGTTGGAATACAGTAGGTTTAAAACCAATATAAATAAAGAATGAGTTCATTACAGTACCTTAAAGTGGTAGTTTGCTTTATTACACTAACGGATCTCACAAAGTTTTTGTTAAAGTTTTGTGTGGATGAAGTGTTCGAAGATCGAGGAGCTATCAATATGAGAAGAATAAAGAGAGGCAAGAGTTCAAGATTGGGGATGCCCAAGGCACCCCAAGTAAATATTTCAAAGGATACTCAAGCATCTAAGCTTGGGGATGCCCCGGTTGGCATCCCATCTTTCTTCTTCAACAAATATCGGTATACCTTGGTTTTTGTTTTATTCACATGATTTGTGTCTTTTGTGTTTTTGTTTCTTTATGAACCATGGTAGTATGAGATAGCCCTTCATTGATTTATAGAATACTTCATGTGCTTCACTTAAATCGTTTAAGTATGATCTTATAGAATTGCTCTTTGTGCTTCACTTAAATCATTTGAGTATGGTTTTATAGAATGCTTCGTGGGCTTCACTTATATATTTTGAGCTTGGATATTGGTTAGTCTATATTAATTGTAGGATTATCCATGAACTTCACTTATATATTTTGTAGTATGAATAATACTATCATCTAAAGTGGGTTTGGAAGAGTGTCAACTTTAGGAATTAGTGATCCCACTATTCCGAATGAGAAGAATTTTGCTTATGTGGAGAGTAGAAAATTTTCTATTCTTGTAGATCATGAAAAGAATGCTTTATGTGATGGTTATATTGATGAATTTATTCATGATGCTACTGAAAATTATTATTAGGGAGTAATTTATGCTTGTAGGAGTTGTAATAATACCAAGTTTCCTCTCTATGTGCTTAAAATTTTGTAGTTATACATGTTTTGCCTTCCTATGCTAGTTGATTCTTGTTCCCTTAAATTGTTTGCTCACAAAATCCCTAGGAATAGGAAGTGAGTTAGGTTTAAATTTTCTAGTCATATTCTTCATGATGCTCTTTATATTTCAATTCTTATCTTTTATGTGAGCATCACTGAAATCATCATGCCTTGCTAAAAGACATTAAAGAAAAGCGCTTGTTGGGAGACAAACCAATATTTACCTTTACTGTTTTTGTGTGTCCACATGATTAATCTACTGTATTAATCATGTTTTATAGCTTTTGTTTCAATAAAGTGCCAAGTAAAACCTTTGGGAAGACTTGGGTGAAAGTTAATGTGATCTTGCTGTAAAAAATAGAAACTTTGCGCTCACGGGATTAGCTGCCATTTTTTACATAAGAGTGCTTTTGAGTTTATTCTTTTTGGAGAAGCTTAATAGACAAATTCCTCACGTCCAACAATTTATTTCATAATTTTTGGAGTAGCAGAAGTATGCTTGTTGTTCAGATCATTACAGACTGTTCTGTTTCTGACAGATTCTGTTTTTAGTTTGCTTGGTTTCTAGTTTGCTTGGTTTCTAGTTTCTATGGCTTATATTTCTCAATATAAATTGTAGAAATGATATGGTACAGTATGCATTGTGTGAGAACAATTATGAACCTTGTCTTTGACAGTACCAAATTGAATGGTTTACTCTCTATCATACTAACCTATCTCACGAAGTTCCATTAAGTTTTGTGTGATTGTAGTTTTCAAGTTTTGGGTGAGATATCGATATGAGGAGAATAAGGAGTGGAAAGACCCTAAGCATGGGGATGCCCGAGGCACCCCAAGGTAATATTCAAGGAAGACTCAAGCGCTTAAACTTGGGGATGCCCCAGAAGGCATCCCCTCTTTCGTCTTCAAAACTATCGGTATATACCTTACTCGGAGCTATATTTTTATTCGTCACATGATATGTGTTTTGCTTGGAGCGTACTTTCAATTTCACTTGCTGTTTGAATAAAATCATTGGATCTGAAATCTTGAATAAAGAAGGAATCCTCCCATGGCTAGTTAATTACTTTACTACTCAGTGTTCTTCACTTATATCTTTTGGAGTAATTTGTCATTTGCTCACATGCTTCACGTATATATATACTATGAGTAAATGGTTGAATGAATTGAATATCATAAATCTGAATTTATAT